TATGTTGTTTACTTTGGCTTGTATGTGATAAGATTTTGATCAATAGAAGCCCATTGCAGCTGATATTTTTCTAGATCGGTTGTTGAAAAGTAACTTAGTTGGACTTGTTTTGGATGTGTCCTTGGTAGGGCCGGACATGTGGATATGCTGTGAAAAGTAGCAAAGTAAGAAAGGGTTATTGAGGACTTTGAGATCACTATGCTCTGAGTGGTTATATTGGAAATCATGGTGCTAATAGGAGGGACGGTCTTCAAATGTTATTTACACTTTACTTCTGCTGGGAGAGACGGCAATTTATGGCTAACTCTGAGTCTGCATCTTAGTTTGCCTTGTATTAGTTGAACCATGACATCTGTGAATTGTCTAACAGCAGCCACTATAAGTTTAGAGTTCGATTAAAGGAAGATTAGGATAATCCATCAGGCATATGTAGACACTTGATTATGTTGTTGGCACGTAGGGGATTTCTGCAGTTGTTGGGTTATGCATGTAGGCCTATAGAATGAATCCAAATTTGGTCATGGAGGAAGAACTTGGTTAAAATAAAGAAAAAAGTTGGTGCATATCTGATATCAGGAGTTATAGTGTCATTCTGTATATCTTTTTAGTAAGAGTAGGACTCAAAAGAATAAGCAATTTAACTCGGTGTTATATACGAGAGCTGTTGTCTTGCTTTTGAGAGAATGTCATTTAGTGTGATTTCTAATGAATTCTTTCCTCTCTAAGTTTCTAATCCTTCTAGTGTTCGCGATCTTTAAGTGTTTATTGTGAGTTCAGGCTGTGTTTGTTTACCTGGAAAATCGTGGGAGCTAATTCCAGAAGACCCATTTTTTGGGGTGTTTGTTTGACTCATTTCTTTTTTGTCCCAAATCAATAAAATGAATTCTTTCGTGTCTAAGTATCAATTAAATGATCCACTTTAGTCCCCAATACACTTTAGTTCCTGCAGTGTAAAACCCAACAACTTTTCTATACCCCTGCCAAATCGGTCCAAAGAATTGGAATCAAGGCCAAACTAAAGGGACAAGATGGAATTGAGGCCAAATTACAAGAGAAAAAAGTGTGATTTTTTCCAATTTTTGCATGAAATAACCTTGCTGGTACTATTTATTGTTAATCATGAGGAAAAGCTAAACCGGTTTTGAAGTTCCTCTCAGGGATGCTTTGGTCAAATAATGTCGTCCTCAGATTTTTGAGTTATTTTTAAACATCTTTATTAGGCTACTTGTTTTTTCTTATTCTTTTAGTTGTTACAATCAAATTACTCAATGCATATTGCCATCCTACTACTTTTGAAAAACATTTTCCCATAGGCTGCGGTTAATTATCGTATTGATCCAGCCAAAAAAGAAATATTGTGTTTAGAAAAACAAAAACTGATGTTTCCCCTTATTAGTAGTATGTATGAGAATCAACTGAGTTTGAAAATTGATTGGATGCTCTGATCAGTTAAGTTGTTATGCATGGCGACTGGAATTGAGTTTGCAGGTCAGTCTTAAAAGTGAAATAAAGGGAAGTGACCGCAGAGAACATGCTACATTGAGTGCTATAGAAACAGATGGCGGCCATTTATATGGCCATCTTTCTTACAATCGCTTCCATATCCTTTTTAAAATATTACGTGGAAAGACTTTGATTTTGCATTGTTGATGATATTTCATTTGCAACAAATTATCATATTCATATTCCATGCAATATGTTTGCTCCTATGCCCGTATTTCTGTACTAATTATTTTTGAACTTTTATATTTCAGGAAGTAATTGATACATCTGGAGGGTAAGTAACTTGTTGCAGTTTAGCTTGAATTTATGAACTTTCTGCAGGATAAGTTACTTCTTATTTATTCAATTGAATTTATGTGGTTTCAGATGCGGTGCTAGCTTTACTATTGAGGTAGTATCGGAGAAGTTTGAAGGGAAGAGGTTGCTGGAGAGGCATCGGGTGGTAAACACTGCTCTGGAAGAGGAGATGAAACAGATTCATGCTCTCTCAATAAAGAAAGCTCTGACACCAGAGCAGTGGAAACAACAGCAGGAGTCTGAAAAACCTAAACCTGCTGCTTAAACATAGTCTTTCGAAGGTCAGGTATATGCTGTAGCTGATAAGCTCGAAAGTGTTTGGAATAGAATTTGATTGGGAAACTGTATGAAATTTCTTTTCTTCCAACCTCCTAAGTTACAGATTGAAAACATGTTGATGCTTATTGCTCTTGTTTTGTCACACAAAATCATGTTAATTATTTTAGGAGGTGTTGCATATTGCACCTTTGCTCAGCTTGGGAGGTGTTGCATATTGCATATTGCTACCTTATTTTCATTTTCAGCATTTAAGTAAATGTCTGTCTTTTTACTTTCATTTACATGTCTTTGCCCTTTTACTATCATTTATTTTTATATTACTCCATGTACTTAAATTTATAATGTAAATCACAACACAAACCCAGCCCCCCCAAAAAGAAAAATTTGGATTCAAATAAAAATATTAGAAAATATGAAAAATTGGTTTTAGTGTAAAATACGATTTCGGCTAAAAATGATGGCTCATTAAGTCAATATATACTTCATACTGAAATCTCATAAAATTATTCCTTTGATGTGTAATTATCTTGAGAAAATGATTATTCCAATTCATACTTGGCCAATATTTTTTTACATAAAACAATTTTTCATATATGATATGAATGCATGAAGGGACCTAAGGTCAATCTAGGCAAAAAGCCTTAGATGTTCAATTCACAAAGAGTTTTACAAGAATAACCTAACTCTTACGTATTGAAGTAATATTTCCTTGAATAAGCTCCCCTTAAGACAATACTCATAAGGTTCCAAAGTTTGAGAGCTAGAACCCAAAAGAAATGCATATAAAGCCCAAAATCAAAATGATGACGAACATAAAAAATGATGTAAATGCCCTAAAATGAGCAGGATTACGCTAATATATACCAGCTCTTACGTCGAATAGGACGAGAT